CCTTCTTTGAGTTCTTTGTTCCTTCATTCCCATTTTCAGTTCTTTCCTTCCTTCTCTCCTCGGTTCCTTCTTTAAATTAAAGTACATGAATGTAAAAGTGAGATTTTGGCCAATCGGATCAAACTGCTGTTTCTGCTCTAAAACCCACAGATGGTGAAATACAGCGTTTGTGCTAAGTGGGCCAGAATTCCTCCACAGTGATGTAAAAGATTCACTGCAAGTTGCTGCAGAAGCTGCATGTCTGTTGGTGCCAAGAGAGAAAAACTGCAGTTTGGCCTAATTAAAGCAAGGCCAGGTTGGCTTGGAAAGTTCCTTCTTCCTTAATAAATAACGTTATTGTAAAAACTCAATTTTTGTATTTACTCGGGATAACTTTAATATTACACTTTGTTTGAGGTTATAAAACAATTATGCGTGATGAAAGAAATATTAACAAAGGAAATTTGTAAGTGAGTTAATTCTTTTTAACACACCTTAAGGTGAGATCAGACTTAGAAAAAGTTAATTTTGTAAGTGAACAAAAACGATCTAACTAATAAAAACTAAACATTCGTCTTTAAGTAAAACATTTTTATATTTGAATAACTGATTATTCATAACGAGATAAAAAATAGTTGCCATGAAAACCAAAATAAGTCAAAATTCATGACTAAAGTCCTACTTCATAATATTTTAATAATTTACAGATAGATACTCAAGGTACGAGCAAATAACCATTCGTTTACCGCAAAATGACAGTAATTTTACACATTTATTAATAACTTTATGATATTAGGGAGGGAAAAGTTGAGTTTTGGACGTGAACCGGGTCAGATGTAACGGAACATCACCGGTACAGCGGCAGAACCTACCTGCTCCAGGTCGCTGTCGTTCAGCGGGTGAACTTCCCGGGACTTGAAGCAGTTCTGACATTTGCTCTTATTGAAGATGTTCGGCTGGAACCTGTTGCAGGATCCCGTCGCCTTGTCGCCGGACATGTTTTCCAGTCAGCGGGTTCCTCTTCAGCGGAGCCGGAGAATCCCGAAAACAAGCCCCGCCGTCCCGCTTCGCTCCCCGGCGATGAATGAAGCGGGTTTCCCTGATCTGGCATCTGTCTCACACGGAGCTGTCTTGACGACTGTCGTCACTGTCAATGCGTCTGACGTAGACATGAACCATCCACATCCGGCTGAAACCTAAAAAATAAAAGTCATAGTTTTCTTTGTTTTTTGGAATTTAATAATTAAATGATAAATTTTTCACTACAAAAAGTTTGTGATTTATATGTAAAAATGTTTTTTTAATTACTTAGATTTTTTTAAATTTATAACACTTTAATATTTTATTTGATGTATTTTTTTAATTATAAAAATATATAAGTAAATTTGTGTATTGCATAATGTAATTTTTAAAGGGTAAATAATATGAACAAACCACAACTACAATACAATAATCAAGTACGTTACAAAGATTGCACAAACAGCCATTTTTATTAAAATGGGTGCTATGAAATTTTCAGACTTGGTTCTGACTTGGTAAAACATCTGATAATACTTTAATGAGAACATTTACTTAGTAGTCAAATAAGCAAGAAATTGTATTAAAGAAGGTTTATAAATAATAAAGAAAGTTTTTAGTACATATAATGATGGAAAAGAGCAGCTGAAACTGTGATGGTAATGGAATTGTTTAAAAACAAAATATGAATGACAACTTTGTTTTATTTTGCTTTCCTTATTTAAATATGGATAAAATATACTTCATTGGTAAATTTCTTTTTGTAGAAATGTATCTACAAAATAGCATTAGAACAACAAAGTTGGTGGACACATTTACCAGTAAACACATATTTTTATTTATTTGTGTATGTACAGAAAGCAGTCGGATATAGGGAGACAAGCGTTTATTGGAGGCAATGGCAGTGGCAGGAGGTTATAGAAACTAAAAACTTTCCTCTTCCTTTACATTTTTGGCCATCCGAGTCGCATATAAAACACACAGTAGCTGCTTCAAACCAGCTGATATGTTTGATTCACACAATAAAACACAAATTTACACAGAAACAGAAGTTATTCTGTTTATCCAAGACAATGTTTGCTCAGGTGTCTTTTATTTCAAAGCAGAAGATTTTAAAGTCATTTCAGGATGCAACAGCAATGAAACGGTAACCTGTGAATTATTCAGTGCATCTTCTACAAATCTAGAAAGGTGCTACTCTAAACATGTGTTTAACTGTTTTTAAAGTGCTTCACTGTTTAAAAATTTAGGAAAATTTGTTCAATACACTATTAAAATTGACCATTTGTTAAGCCTTCACTCTTTATGTGTTCTGGTGCCCCCTACTGGTGGCAGCTAAAAATACACGGTCTGTAGGTCTACTGATGGTCAGATGTGACTTATAAAATAATAAAATATAATTAAATGCATGTACATATATTACTTCATAGGGGTTAGAACCCTAACTTAAACATTTATTTTTATAGATCTTAAATAAAAAAGGTTTAGCAAACGGTCAAGTTTCCATTTGGGTAACTGGAGCAGCTTGAAGTTTGTGTGCTTTCATTTCCAAACTAATGTTTCATATTTACATAATTTACTTTAGCAGCAAACCTGCACAGTAGGGGTTTAAAGGAATAATAATATATGGGGCAAAAAGCAGGATATATTTAGTTTATAAATTCCATAAATATTTCTCTGCAGCAATATTTCATGACAGGTTTTAAATGTAGGACAAATAAATAAACGTTTGTGCTCTGGAGGAAAATCTGAGGGAAGAAGTTTGTTCTTCCTCAGCGACGCTCAGGCAGTTTGAGTTTGGATTGAATACGCCTCTCTGTCTCACTGCTCCGCTACTCGACTCAGGATCCCATCACCATCATCACCATCATCACCATTATCACCATCATCATCATCATCATCACCATTATCACCATCATCATCACCATTATCACCATCATCACCATCACCATTATCGCCATCATCACCATTATCACCATCATCATCACCATTATCACCATCATCACCATCACCATTATCGCCATCATCATCATCACCAT